GGCTAAGATGCTGGACCTGGGGCACTTTGAGCAAGGAGTTGAACTACCTGGTTTAACTTTGCTGAAGGTCCTTGGTGCCTTGTGAGAACAGATGAAGGGGGAGTCGGCCAGTCTCCTGGTGACCATGATGGTCTGGCCAGGAGAGGTGGTCAGGTGTAACAGCGCGGCAAGGGACAGGTCGGTCATGAAGCGCAACCAAGACTGGCAGACCAGTTTGTCCAGGCACATGAAAGGAAGCGGAGGGCGAGGTGACTGGGTGCTGCAGGAAGAGCAGAGGTCCCGAGCTCCCACGTTAGGAACTCGGGCTGCTGAGGAGGAGCCCGCAGGAAGGGTCCTCCTGCTCTGAGGCTTAAGTATGCACTTGATCAGTGCTGAGCACCTCAAGTGTTCATGTCCATCTCAGACTTCTTCCCAGACATTCGAGGCCCCATGCTCAGCTGGCTACTGCCCATCTCCCGGGGGATTCTGCAGACCTCTCAGAATCAGTTGTCCACACCTGAGCACTTGACACTCCCTGAGCACCCAGTCCTCTCAGATCTCCCAGAGCTCAGAGGAGGGCATGGCACTCTCCCTCCCACGGGCACCCCGTACCCACAGCACACCCTCTGGTTCTGTGCCCAGTCGGACCCCGCCTCGCCACCCACATGACTTCCCCAAGGACAAGCCCAGGGAACCTTCAAGGCCCTCCAGTGGCCTCTCTGCCTCTGACCTTGCCCCGCAGGGTCCACCCTCCACTGAGCGGCCAGCGTGGCTTCTTGAGACAGTCACACCTTCCTTTCTCTGGACAGACCCTTTGACAGCTTCCTCTCTGGGGCAGAGGACATCCAGAGCCCTGGTGACAGCTGAGGCCTCCTCTCCTCTGCCAGCCTCCTGCCTCCCTTGCTCTGCCCCTGCTGGCTCCCTGCTCCCACACACCCGGGTCGCTCCCCTGCAGAACCTCGGCCCTACTGTCTGCCTGGGTGTTCTCGGGTCAACGTGCTCCAGACTTGCTGCACAGATGCCCCTCGTCACAGAGTCCTCCCTGGCCTTCCGGTGCTCCTCGCAGTCCCTCCGCCACAGCCGCCCGTCTTCTCTGCTTTGTCACCTCTCAGGATCCATCACTGGGTAAATGCAGCAGTGATTCCTTGGATGTCGTGTCCAGATGCTCTCCACAGGGATGAAGACACAGCGCTTGCTCCTTGGTGCATGAACCACACCTTGTGCCTGATGGCTGCCCAGTGAGCACTTGTTGGGAGACAAGGGGAGAGTCCCCTGCGTATGATTTCCTGCACCTGAGGAAGAATGGCCACCCCAGGGAGGGGAACCTGCAGCTGGTGCGGAGGTGTGTCTACCTGAGATATGGGGGGCTGTGTGCATAGCCTGTGCAGCACCTCAGCTCTTGGAGGGTTGAGACAGAACGAGGGCCTGAAGTCCTCCTGTCCCACCGTTGCTCAAAATGGAACCCAGTGATGGGTGTGGAGGATGGTGGTGGAGGAGGGGCCCAAGTCTGAGAACAGTGCTCCAGGAGAGGGGCCATGTGGCCTCTGGTCTCCGCGGGCAGCAGTCCTCGAGTGGCGGCCACGTGGCCTAGGTGTTTAGCCTCTTCGTCTCTCTTTAGCACAAGCTGAAGGAGCCAAGAGCAGGCTTGGCTGAGGGGTGCTGGAATCTGCGTCTCCCCAGACTCTCCACACGTCAAGCCCTAGCACCAAGACCTACCTTTTGTGTTCTGCACCAACTGGCTTAAGTGCCCAAGGGAAGGACAAGGGACCCATGTGCTCACCTCACAGGAAGCCTCGGGAAGGGTACCTGCAGGCCTCCCTGGGGATGAGGGGTGGGGACAAAGGAGAATGGGGTAACACACTCCAGCTGGGGCTCAGCCTTTGCTGGACCCTGTGCAGTGGGAGCAGAGACCTGGTGGTGCCAGCAGCTTTCCAACAGAACTGAGGTGCTCTGAGCACCCACCGCGGCCGTGTCCCAAGCTGCAGGGTCTGCACACGCTGCTTGACACTCAGGCCAGCCGTCCAGTCTTCCCTCCTCTGAACCTTTAATAACTAGGCCACCAGCAAGCTAGCACCTGAAAGTGAGTTTAAAAAATGAAGCAAGACAATTTTAAGTCCATTTGGGAAAGTAAAATAAACAAAAACAATATATCATATCCTGTATAACTTTAAAAAACCTTTACAAATATCTGTTTTAATTTTGGAAACCAAAATTAACAAAAATGATTGTTGATGCTGTTTCTTTAGAACTGCGAACACCACCATGGGAAAGGGGGCCTCCTTCAAGTGTTTTTACTCCTTATTAAACCACCTAGTTCACGGTCCTGAGGCTCCATCTAAACCTGTCCACGTTGCAGGGATGGTAAGAGGAAGAGGAAGAGTACACTGCCAAAGGGACTAAGTGTAAGGCACTGCTACCCACGTTACGTGGGAATCCTCGTGACTTGTGGTGGGTCCTGAAAACTCCATCTTACAGATGCGGATTTCAAGGGCCAAGCAGCTTGAGTAATGGAGGCCACCTAAGTGCTGGATCCAGGAACACCAGGCAATCAAACATCTCCAGAGGGAAGCGAATTCACAGGCTTGGCCAAAAGAGTTTTTACGGACACCTAATAAACAATTTCACCTTAAATGTCTGCCTAGAAGCAATCGCAATAGGTCACTCTAATCCTGCCCTCCGCAGCCTGCACTCTAATCCTGCCCTCTGCACCTGCACTCTAACCCTACCATCTGCACCTGCACTCTAACCCTACCCTCTGCATGTGCACTCTAATGCTGCCATCTGCACCTCCACTCTAAGCCTGCCCTCTGCAGCCTGCACTCTAACCCTACCCTCTGCACCTGCACTCTAATGCTGCCCTCTGCACCTGCACTCTAAGCCTGCCCTCTGCACCTGCACTCTAATCCTGCCCTCTGTACCTGCACTCTAATCCTGCCCTCTGCATCCTACATCCAACCCAAGGACACACTCTGAGGCCTGCGGCCAGCCTAAGAACACACAGCCTATTCCAGCCTCACTCCCCTGCCTGACCTCATCCCTGTTCATTCACCTCACTGCCACATCTCCCATGTGTCTATGGTGTCTAGAAGAGGACCCAAAGCCACCCAACCTTCTATGTACTGCACGACCTACCCCAGCCCTGCCATCGTACACTGGCCCCTGAGCACAACCTCATGCCTGACACAAGTCTAGGGACTGGAGAAGCCAAGACACAGGGACCCCCTATCTTACCAGGAAAAAGACATTACATGGGTGCACAGAAAGGTGGAGGGATGATGGACAAGCAGACTCCGGTCAACATACTTGGAGAGACTGGGGTGTTCACCCAATAGCCACCATTTTCCTTCTCAGAGTCAGAGCACAGCCCGACTCAGCCTCTTGAGCCACCTGTGCCTGCACGACTGCCTTTGCCCATCAGGATACAGACGACCTTGCCCAGCATCAAGATGTGCGCTGGGGAGACAGGCGCTTTCCTGCTGCCTGAGCTCTGAGCAGGCTGAGGAGCAGTGGCAGACAACGAGGCTCTGGGGCCCACACTTCTGGAAGGTAGAGCAGAGGTTAGCAGGTGACCCCGGTTTCCTCACCTCCAGCCCAGCCTTACCAGGAGAGAAGGGCTCCTCCGTCTTCTCTTAAGTTTCTGTCTGGGATTTTCAGTCACTCCTCTTGACTAACAAAACAACCGAAAGGGCCGTGAAGCAGAGAAGGTGGAAGGACTCCATGTGGCACTGTGTTCAGGAGACTGTGGAGGGTTTGTGATGGCCTCGCCTTTGAGCAGTGTCCCTGGCCTGAGGAGCGAGGCAAGTTCCCAGAGCAGGGAAACCGTTAACGGAAGTCCAGAAGGGAGCATGCTCTGTGCCAGAGCCAGGGGCTGATGTGGCCCACCTTCCAGCCCCATGTCCTCCGTCTGCGGAAGCCCTGGACCTGAGGTCCACGGTGCAGCACCTGATCTCTGAGGCTCGGCTCCTGCTCAGCCACGTGTCCCTAACAATGCCCCCCCCCGTACCCTCAGGAGTGAAGCCGTCTGTGGACTGAGCGTCCACGTTCACTCTTGACTCAGGGCCAGCTCTGTGGGTGCCCACAGGTCTCCAGAGATGTCCCTGTCCATAGTGTTCATTTTGGTTATGAGTGACCCACCACTCTGTTCTAATTCACGGGTACGTCTCTTGCCACCTTGACTGAGGTACAGCGTAAGGACCACACTGTAGAAAGTCTTTCAAGTCCCCTTTGGCTGCGGTCTCTTCCAACAGAAGGTGAGGGATAGGGGCTCTGCGGGTCCGTGGATGCACCCTCCTTCACATCTCACAAGCTGGAACAATGGAGAGAAGCTAATGTTCCCCTGTTCCTTTCTTCTGCCAGGAAGATATGAGTAGCTGAAGTATTTGGTGCTATATATAGTCCATGAGGTCAGTGGGATGCCAGTCTCCTCAGAGAGGCTCAGTCCCGCTCGAGTCAGAGCTGGGGACCATGCCGTCCCAGGTTCAAGGATAAAACCCATCAGGCCCAAGCGCCATCTCCGCCATCTTCTCCATCTCCAGGTCTCCTCCAGGATCGCCCTTGCTCCCAGGCCCCGTCCAGCGTCCAGCAGCAAGGTGAGTACGTCGCTCCCCGAGGGCTGCCGGTCGCTGTCCAGGAGGCTCAGGGCAGGGTGCAGCAGCGCACTCTGGCTGAGGGGCAGCTGTGCGGGCCAGTGGTCAGGCGCTGACCGGGGGCCTCTTTGTTCTGGTGCCCCCCTCTCTCTCCCTTGTCTGGGATGGACGGACCAGACGTGGGTACACTCGAAGGCCAAGGAGACAATGGTGGGTTAAAAATAACCCTGGACAGGCAGCTCTCCTCCCTCACTGCTGGGGGACTTTGTGTGAGTGCACAGGAAGGACTGGCCCGACACTCCTGTCACCAGATGTCACCCGACAGGGATGCACAGCCAGGCCCTCCAGCAGAGAGCAGCAGTGCTAGAATGGGGCAGCTCTCTGGGAGGGCGGCTGCCTCAGTGACGCCCCACTCTGCCTACAGGGACCTGCTCCATGCTGTCACACAGTGCCCTGGTGAAGCAGAGGAGGCAGCAGGCGTCCGCCATCATGAGGGAAGTCCACGGAAACGGTACCGATGCGCGTCCGCGGCACTAGCAGCTCACACTAACTCTGATGTGCCGGCGTCCTGGGGCTCCTGAGCCCCGGGCTGCGGCCTGTGGCTGCCAGGCCGTGCAGTCCCCCCTTGGGCGGAGAGCTATTTTCAGATGAGCAACTGCAGGGGGCTGAGGCGAGCAGCAGCTGAGGCCCGTCGTGCTCGCTGGCTGCGGCCTGGCCCTTCTCTCCTGCTTGGACGGGCCTTGCACCAGCTGGTCTCCAGGCACATCCAGCCGCACGCCCGGTCCTCCTTCTGCCCCCTTTCCCCAAGAGCTGCGGCTCACTGAGAATTCCTGTCTGTGCGCTCAAAGCCAGCCTCCACGTCATACTGACTCACTAACATCCTGTGTGCGAGACCCACGATTGCTTGTAGTTTCTGAGGAAGACAGAAAAAGTCCCTGTAGTCCCCAAACGCTGACTGGGGACACTTTTTCCATAGTTAGACGGGAGGCATTCCCAGTGGGTTCCACCTCGTCTGGGTAAAGCTCTGCGAGTGCCTCTGGCTTTGCATTTTGATGGCTGTGAGGGGAATTCCATTCTGCCCATGAGCAGAGCCAGCACCAGTCCCAGGCTCAGCAGAGGACCCAGATCTGCAAGGGCCGAGGCGAGCCACCCTGACACGCTGTGGCACTTGGCCTGCCAGCCGTCCCGCCAGTGGCACGGGACGCAGCCCTTCACCACAGCCAGCCGAGGCCTGGGGCTGAGGCGCAGGGGCACTGGTGACCGTGAGCGGCGTCCTCCTTGGCACCTGCCATGACCTGGGACTCTCAGGTGGCCCTCCTCCTTGCCGTGTCCTCCCTGAGTCTTAAGGATGACCACTGTTAGGATCCCAAGGTGGCACTAGTGCCCTGGGCCAGGCTGTGTGGCTGTGTGGCATGACCCCCAGCAAGCGTCCTCCTGCACCCATACGGCCTGGTGACAGCTGAGGTCCTGTGGTCTAGTTGGTTTTCTGTTTTCTGTGATGTAAAACCGCCATCACTGTCCTGGACTGAAGTTTGTTCTCGTGTTTTACTGTGATATGGAGTTAGAGTAGAATAAAAGGAGAATAATTCTGAACAAGCTACCAGAACTGAACTGGTACTAATACAAAATTCCAAAATCCAGGCTTCTTTAAATTGTATCTTTGTGCTTCCTGCTTCAGGTTGTTTATTTGAAATTGTTCATACAGTTTTCCTGGTCAATAAGGCAGAACTCAGACCACGGCTTGAGTCTGAGACAAATTGCTCACCTTGAAACTGGACTGTGGATAACTTGTTTCATTATTGCCTGGAAGTCCTGCCTAAATCAGCCCCTCGGCTGCGCTCTCATTCCAAACCTGGGTTCTCCTGCCGGCTCAGACTCAGGCCTTTCTACTTCTTTACAATGTAACTATTGTTCCCGGGAAATGTAAAGGGGAAACACTCTCATTCCCTAGAGGGCAGAACCCTCAAACCACTGCTCCGCCAAGGGGACCCTGGCCACCCACCGTCTGGTGACCCTCCAGTTGCGGGTGAGCGCCAGTCCCAAGCGCTCAGATGGTGTGGGGTGACCAGGGCTGTCGCCTGAGGAAACCCTCCCACCCCCTTTCCTCCACGGCTCGGGGCTCTCGTGGGACGTCACAGCGGCCTGCCTCTGGAGGTGGCAGTGCTCTCCCTCTGAGGATGGAGCATCCTGGGGACTACGCCCTGAAGCCTCCAGAGACACGGAGGCAGCCCTCTGCGTGATCTCAGATACAGTGTGCAACCGTTTTCATCTTGATTATGAAACAAAATGAGCCCAGTGGGCGGGACCACCCTCCGTGAAAATGCAAGGAGCAGGGTGTCTCCAGACCCCTTCCTCCTCCCCGGTGAGGCAGGATGTCGTCTTGCATTATCGTCACACGCCAGAGACACTCGGCCCCAGGAGGAGGACGAGCAGGAGCCAGGGCCAGCAAAGCCAGGGCCCTCTAGACACTAGATGGGAACCCCACCAGGGCCTCGTGGGGAGAGGCCAGAGCCGTGAGGGAGGAGCAGCCTCAGGGCGCTGCCCAGGCCAGTGCGAGTGCCAGGGTGCAGGATGGCTGCTAAAAGGTAGACGGCTCCCCTGCCACCACGACTGCACCAAGTCCAGCACGATCCCCTCTGAGCTGGGGTCAGATTGTGTCCATGGAGCAAATATGCCACACGCCCACAACAAGGGCTCTCAGGTGGCCCCTCCTCCTCATCGTGTCCTTGCTGTGTCGAAGGATGGCCACCGTCAGGATCCCCAAGATGGCACTCGTGCCCGGGCCAGGCTGTGTGGCAGTGTTGAATGACAGATCCACAGAAGCCCCTGCACTTTTGCAAAGGGTTCTCAGCCGCAGCTGCTGGCATCTAGCAGGTGCTACTGCAAGAGACAGGAACACAAGAGGCATCTAGCCATTCTGCACAGGGTCAGTGGGGGATGCTGTCACCCATCCTGTCACCCGGAGTCCACGCCTAATTCCCAGGACCAGCCAAGGTCCTCCCCTCATTTCAAACCTCAACACTGAAAGCAGAGGGGAAGATACAGGACAGGAAGCCTGGCCTGACAAGAACGGACGGCACAGTGGGCAGAGGCAGGACAGACGGACGTGGCAGCAGTGGGTGACCGTGGATGGCAAGGAGTCAACCTACAGGCCCCGGGGTGAGGCTGCAGAGGCTGCCTGAGTGCAGCCCGGGCTGCCTGACAGCTCAGCGGGCTTCAGAGACAGGAGGCAGAGCCGGGCCTGCAGGCGCCCCGCAGGGTCCCCGCCGGCCCTGTGGGCGTTTTCCTCCTCACTGGCCCAGCTTCCCCGGGCAGACAGACAAGAACTGGGCAGATTATTTTGGTAATTTCAGGAAGAGAGTTTGCTTTGTGGTCTGAAAACAGGAAGCCTGTTCTAAATGCAGCGCTGCTGTGGACATGGAACCCGGGCTGGGTTCCCACCAGCCTCCCACTCCTCAGGGGGAAGGCGGCCAGGAGAGCTCCCCTGAGCTCCGTCCTCCCAGATTCCGACTCCTGAGTGGCTTGGCAGTCAGGCCTCAGCCACCCTCTCCACCAGTGCAAGGAGACCGCAGTGTTGACCCAAGTCCCAGGGCCCTTTGGAAAATGGAGTCCAGGCTCAGACTTCTGAGGAAAGACTCCCCAGCAGCCTTTCTCTGCACGAGTGTCTTGGGAGAGTGAATCACACCTTCAACCTTCAAGCAAGGACACCAGGACAGCCTCACCTACCTGGGGTCAAAGGTGAAATGCTGGAGGGACAGAAGAGGAGTCCGTGCACAGTTTCGGGAGTCTTCCTCTGTGGGGTTTACCTTTCCACATCAGCCTGCGCATAAAACCAAGAGAAGCCAGAGCCGGCAGCACACCTGGGTATCTGAGCCTGGCCAACAGTCACACCTGGTGGACTCAGGCTTCCTGAGCATCGGACCTGACAGGGCACCCAGGACACTGGTCCCAGAGGACCGGCCCAATCCTGCTTTACCACAAAGCCCAAACTGCGAGCCTCGTCCCAGCTGTTCTCTCCGGTCTTTCTCGGGCCTGATATAGTTCTGATATAGTTCTCTCTGGTTCCATTCGGATTCTGTCACAGTAGCTGATGGTTCTGTCTGTGTAATTCCACACATGGGTTACTCATTTCTTAAACGCTTAGGGGTTTATGCAGCACTAGTGTTTTCATTAATGGCAAATTTCCAAAGATTTTGTAAAATAGTCTGAAAAGTCAAATTAAGACAAAGATACATGAAATAGGAAAATAAAAAATCCAGGTGGGCTCTTAAATCTTTTTATCTAGAAAAAAATTGTCAGTAAATTTTATCAATTAGAATCTTATCAGGCATTATTCTGAATCGTAGTCTAGACTGTGATTTTAATGTTATATATATTATATACTACGTTGTATTACGCACGATATACCTTTTCTTTCTTTCCTCTTCCTCCTTCCATCCTTCCTGCCTGCCTTCTTTCTTTCTTTCTTGTACCAGGGATTGAACTCAGGAGCATTAACCACTGAGCCACATTCCCAGTCCTTTTTATATTTTTATTTTGGTACAGAGTCTCACTAAGTTGCTTAGGTCCTTGTAAAGTTGCTGAGGCTGGCTTTGAACTTGTGATCCTCCTGCCTCAGCCTCCTGAGTTGCTGCGATTACTAGTGTGGCCACTGCGCCCAGCTGTGTAATATATCTGTCTGTCTTCCTGTGGACAGATGAAAGTGTCCTACACGAGCACAGGCCGGATCTCTGTGCCTCCGTCAGACTTCTAATTAAGTCAACACGCCCACAACACAGCCGCCTGCCAGGGCTCACCTCTTCTTTCCCATGTCAGGACTGCTGAAGCCAGGCATCCATGGGGGGCTGTTTGAAAGGTCTTTTGTCCTCCAGATAACTGCAGGCGGACGTCAGTGTAAAGTGCAGATTGGATCCACTGACCGGCCTCAGTGCTGACCACTGTGGCTGACATCAGTAGTGAAGCATGCTCGACCATATTATTCTCAACAGATGACCTCATGCCACAAACACAACCTGAAAGGCACGAGGGCAGCATGAGTAGCTGGGGTTGGAGCTGTAACTTACCAAGCAAAGATGAACACGCCTTCAGACCCCACACAGGGTGTCCATTTATGGGCAGAGGAGGGCAGAACGTGGGATCTCTGTGCTCAGGGACAGCATGCCATACAGGAAGACTCAGAAATGAGTGAGAGGCATAGATCTTCACCCACAGTGGCCCTCGCCCCTGGGAGGGTGGGGCAGTGAGTGACAGGAGGGACAGACCTGGATCCCAGCACACAGTGGCCCTGTCCCCTGGAAGGTGGAGGAGT